AGTAGAAAGTGTACTCTTTTGCTTTAGGATTATGTGCTCGCCAGGCATCAATGAGGTTGTAATCAGAGAGTATATGCTGGAGAGCCTTGGTTGTGTGTGGATTGTAGTTGGTCTTATTAGATTTGACTCGCATGTCCAAAATGGCATTCAGGTCTGTCCCAATATCCAGATGGAATTCCTAACAATATCCTGTTCAGAGAAGAAGAAAAAACATAGGATCACATGAATTTGGAGTGTACGCATTAATAAAGGCAATTTCCTTTCCATTATGGATACATCTAAGGAAAGTGATTCTGCCTTTTTGGTCTTTGCCTTTTACCCAATATGGTGATTTTGAGTTTCTTATGTATCATTATGATAACACCTTTTAGTTTTGTTTGGGGCTGATGAAAAAGCAGCCAGTTTGTACAAATGGTTCTGAAATTCTACAGTATGTGCGTCCTTATGGAGCAGGTGTGTTTCTTGGAGCATTGCTATATCAATATTGTTTTTTGCTAGGATATCAAGACAGCTGGAACGCTTGATAGGAACATTTAGGCCTTACAAATTCCAAGAGAGAATAGCTAGCGTTGCAATTGTTCTTCAGAAAGGAATGTTATATTAATGATATAATTGTTATCTTTAGTGTTAATAAGCCCATGGATGTGTAACAAAAACCATCCCCCCCCCCCCCCCTTCCCTCCCTCCCCTTCCTTAAACAATTGTGTAGTAGTCCGTATGGGACTGGCCATCTCTCATTACCAGTAACAAAAAGTAGGGGAATAGCTTCCAACTTATATTGCCATATTTTGCCATTTAGGGATTCAATGTGCTGTAGCCCCATAAGGAAGCAGGCCCAGTCTGTGTGACACCTCAATACAGTATATTGTTCATTAATTGTTGTGGTGTCATCACTGTGTTAATGTCCTCCTGTTCCATAGGCAATATAATAATAACAAAGTCCAATACTCAACAATAATAGTAATAATTCTCCTTGTACCCACTTGAGGGGGTGTCCTCATCATTGTCTTATGCTGAGGGCAGCATATACCCTAGCCATATTCTAGGCTGCGTGATTGAATGTTGAGCCAGTCATAATGGGGTTCAATCTGTCGACTTGTCCCCTTGCGTATTGGGTTTGATGTGGTTCTCGCAGAAGTCTTGAGCTTCCTTGGCAGTGGAGAACGTGCATCTTGTGTTCTGGAAGGTCAAGAGGCCGGATGGATGAAGCCGCATCTCAGATTTAGCTTGTGTAGCTGGGATCTCACCTCATTGTAGGTCGCCCTCTGTTTTAGCAGTTCGCCACTATGATCTGGGTAGATGCTGATCCTTTTCTCCACATACAGTGAGGGAAAAAAGTATTTGTTCCCCTGCTGATTTTGTACGTTTGCCCACTGACAAAGACATGATCAGTCTATACTTTTAATGGTAGGTTTATTTGAACAGTGAGAGACAGAATAACAACAACAAAATCCAGAAAAACGCATGTCAAAAATGTTATAAATTGATTTGCATTTTAATGAGGGAAATAAGTATTTGACCCCTCTGCAAAACATGACTTAGTACTTGATGTCAAAACCCTTGTTGGCAATCACAGAGCTCAGACGTTTCTTGTAGTTGGCCACCAGGTTTGCACACATCTCAGGAGGGATTTTGTCCCACTCCTCTTTGCAGATCTTCTCCAAGTCATTAAGGTTTCGAGGCTGACGTTTGGCAACTCGAACCTTCAGCTCCCTCCACAGATTTTCTATGGGATTAAGGTCTGGAGACTGGCTAGGCCACTCCAGGCCCTTAATGTGCTTCTTCTTGAGCCACTCCTTTGTTGCCTTGGCCATGTGTTTTGGGTCATTGTCATGCTGGAATACCCATCCACGACCCATTTTCAATGCCCTGGCTGAGGGAAGGAGGTTCACACCCAAGATTTGACTGTACATGGCCCCGTCCATCGTCCCTTTGATGCGGTGAAGTTGTCCTGTCCCCTTAGCAGAAAAACACCCCCAAAGCATAATGTTTCCACCTCCATGTTTGACGGTGGGGATGGTGTTCTTGGGGTCATAGGCAGCATTCCTCCTCCTCCAAACACGGCGAGTTGAGTTGATGCCAAAGAGCTCGATCTGACCACAACACTTTCACCCAGTTCTCCTCTGAATCATTCAGATGTTCATTGGCAAACTTCAGACGGGCATGTATATGTGCTTTCTTGAGCAGGGGACCTTGCGGGCACTGCAGGATTTCAGTCCTTCACGGCGTAGTGTGTTACCAATTGTTTTCTTGGTGACTATGGTCCCAGCTGTCTTGAGATCATTGACAAGATCCTCCCGTGTAGTTCTGGGCTGATTCCTCACCGTTCTCATGATCATTGCAACTCCACGAGGTGAGATCTTGCATGGAGCCCCAGGACAAGGGAGATTGACAGTCTTTTGAGTTTCTTCCATTTGAGAATAATCGCACCAACTGTTGTCACCTTCTCACCAAGCTGCTTGGCGATGGTCTTGTAACCAATTCCAGCCTTGTGTAGGTCTACAATCTTGTCCCTGACATCCTTGGAGAGCTCTTTGGTCTTGGCCATGGTGAAGAGTTTGGAATCTGATTGATTGATTGCTTCTGTGGACAGGTGTCTTTTTTATACAGGTAACAAGCTGAGATTAGGAGCACTCTCTTTAAGAGTGTGCTCCTAATCTCAGCTTGTTACCTGTATAAAAGACACCTGGGAGCCAGAAATCTTTCTGATTGAGAGGGAGTCAAATACTAATTTCCCTCATTAAAATGCAAATCAATTTATAACATTTTTGACATGCGTTTTTCTGGATTTTTTTGTTGTTATTCTGTCTCTCACTGTTCAAATAAACCTACCATTAAAATTATAGACTGATCATTTCTTTGTCAGTGGGCAAACGTACAAAATCAGCAGGGGATCAAAAAAATAATCCCTCACTGTAGGTCAGAGCCCTCGATTCTACTGCGAGGCGAACAATTCGCAGTTTGACTTCAAAACTGTGGATTTGTACAATCATAGAGTGAGAGCCATTCCGGAGAGGACCCGTGTGGTGCGCAATATTAATTAGCAGCATGGGACCCAGCTTCTCCTGCCCAAACAGTTCATAGAACAGATTGCTCATGAAAGAAGTTGGGTTGCCCGCATCCACGCCTGTTTCAAGTCCTACAACCCGTACATTCACTTAACCAGAATAATTTTCAAGTGATTCCATTTTCTCTTTTAGGAGATTGATTGCCCCTTCTAGCTTAGGTCGCTCTGTTTCCAGGTCATGGATTCACACCTCTGTCACATTGACCGTCTTCTCCAGACTTTCCACTTTAGTTGAATAGGCATCCACTTTAGAAGTTAGTGATTAATTTACCGGTTTTAATTGCAAGTCGAGGGCAGAGGTAGTCTCCTCACGAACAATCTCTCGGAAAGTAGCAGCCAGCTCTTTCTGTTGTGTGGTGTTGAGAGCCGCCATGTTCCCACAGGTGAATTGTGGGTGGACAGATTATTTTATCTGCTGGAGTGAAATGGATCTGCAAATCTTTTCTTGTCATACAATGAATGTCTCACACCTTAATATGATGTTTACAATTGACCATTTTTGAAAACAAATCCGTTAATTCATAGTAATTTTGCAAAAGAAAGCCACGATAAGGTCACGCATTTCAATGCATGCCACCAGATCCCAGCAAAAGCCTTGTTGAGCATTTTTGTCAACAATTCAAAAACTGTGGAGATGTATTGCCATAGCCGCGGGAAGAAGTTTGGGGCTGTTTGCCCATGCTACAGACAGCTATATTGGTCCGCTTATACATAACTAGTAAAGGCCCGGGGCACTACTTTTGGTCAAAAATACTTTTTGCAAACAAAATCAAATTTTTATATTAAAGAAAAAATCATTATTTTTCAGGGGGTGCAGCAGCACCCTCAGCACCCCTAGTTCCCGCGGTTTATGTGTATTGTTACACCTATAGTTCTATTCAGCTTATTCATGTACATGAATGCAACTGACTAAGGATAGGTAATATGTGAAATGTATGAACCGTTAATGTCACATTTAATTGTGTGCCTTTGTGGTGCCCTTTTTACAGCATTCTTTTGAGGTCTTGTAGTCCTGACTCTTGTCCCTGGGGGAATTGAAAATGTGTATAGTGCTCACCATGTCCTTTAGGGCTGGGAATTGCCAGGGACCTCATGATACAATATTACGATATTATCACGGTACTTAGGTCCCGATACGATATGTATTGCGATTCTCATGATTCTATATGTATTGTGATTCGATACTGCGATTATATTGCGATTTGATGTTCCAAGCATATTGCTCACTATACAGTATGTCTGCTGCAGAAACATATGAGAGAGCCATAATAAAAACGAGTTTTGATCAGTCATGGAAATAAAGGTGCTGAAAACATGTTGGATCACTTTTTAAAAAGAAGATGGAGAACGTACTATAGGATAAAAAATGCCAGAGCTAATGTCGCGGTGCCCCTAATTATTTTTACTGATTTGTTGTCGGGCTCCCGAGTGGCGCAGCGGTCTAAGGCACTGCATCTCAGTGCTTGAGGCGTCACTACAGACCCCCTGGTTCGATTCCAGGCTGTATCACAACCGGCCGTGATTGGGAGTCCCTTAGGGCAGCGCACAATTGGCCCAGCGTCGTCCGGGTTTGGCTGGTGTAGGCCGTCATTGTAAATAAGAATTTGTTCTTAACTGACATGCCTAGTTAAGTAAAGGTTAAATAAAATAAAAAATAAAAATAGTAAGCAAACTGTTGATGGCCAGCTCCTGCATGTAAGCTGTACTAGGGTTGATGATAATGGTATACAGAGGGGGATGGCATTACTCAAGGGGGCTGTGGCTTACGGCTGGCCCTTACATCCTCTTAACACACCCACCCACTGTGATGGGAGCCAGAGTGAAGTGAGCCAGACGTGGTGTAGAGCTGCTGCCACTGCTCTTGCTGTGCTGCCTGTGAAATACCTAAGTCTGCGTGGTGCTGAGGGGGCCTGGAGCAGGGGTCGCTGCTAATCACAGAGCAGAGCAGAGGGAGAGGAGATCCAGTAGTGGCTGAGAGAGAGATAGAGAGAGAAGATAGAAGCAGGGAAGGGAGTGGAGCATGAGAGCTGAGCTGTGAACATACTGGAGAACATAAATCTTGTTGACTTTTTAGTCGGTAGTTGGAGCATCAGGACAGGATGGCTGTCCTGCATCTGTGCAGTCTGCTGCTGCTGCTCATGGCTCCTGTTCAAGGCCAATGGTGGGGTGTGTTCTGGGGGAAAGCACAGGACATGACCACACAGGCCCCCACCACCGAGGTCCCCACCACCACCACCAAGGTATTTTGGACAATGGAAGGGACAGAGGTGGGCACCCAGACGGAGGTGTACACTACTGCACCTGTTCAGAGTACACTTCTACAGAGCACACAGGAGCCTGCAGGTGCTGGAACAACAGAGATCAAGCCCAAGGCTAAGAAAATACCTCTGAAAATGTGGAAGAGTCGTGGTAAGTTATTCTGTGCTGTGCAGGAGTCGAGGAACACCTGGAGTGTGCTGGATGATGTAGTTTTTTCAGGTTAATTTCCGTTTGGGATTCTGTCCAAAAAAGTGGTCTTTATGTTGTGTTTAAATAACAACAGTTCTGCTACTGGTTCTGCACTTGGCTTGCACGTTCAATTAAACAGAACCAATGCTCTGTGAGTTCTCAGTCATCGACTTAGCATAATGCTGTAAAAACTTCCCCTGAAGGAATCTAAAGGCCCTGACAATGTGGCAGCTGTGGAGCTATGGACTCATGGTGGTTCATAATTTTTGTTAAAGTAGTCTCAAGCTGATACTTGTAGTGGGATCATGACAGAGATTAGGTAGTGTGTTCCCTCACAGCCTGCTCAAGCTTACTGAGCATGGCTACGCTTTTTTAACTTGTCTAATTGAGGCTGTGCATTGCTGAGGGGAGCAGGTTTCCTGCTAGCCCCTTGGTTTCCAAAGTAAATCCCTATCACATGATATTAAAATAATAGGATTAGGGCCAAGAGCCTTCCTGGAACCTGGGGAAAATGTGGTCCGAGAAGTGTGAGAATTGTTTCAGAGCCTGCGCTGGGCTGGGTTGTGCGGTGAGAGAGCGAGAGTGGGGAATGGGGCACAGACGGATGGGTGAGGTACGGGAGGGAGGACTGATATCAAGAGGCTGGAGATGAGAGGAGCGATACAACATTTTCATAACTGAGATGGATGGGGCACCGGTTATAGGGAAATCCATTTCCAAAATACTGTATGTCTGATGTCTTGCCTGACTAGAAGAATTGGGGGCTAAATCATCATTCAGTAAACTCCGAGAAAATCACTGGACAAAGAGGACAAAGTTGTATCCACATTCTGCAAGCTCTCTCTGAACAAAATGTGTTGTTAACTCTTGTCTCTCCTGTCTATTCCTCTGTCTGAGCTGTACTGTAGGTGTTACGCTCTGACATCTTCTCTCCACAATGTTAATGTGTCTGTCTGAGGAGGATGTCTGTCTGTCGATCCAGCTTTGATAATTGCCGGCCATAAACAGTAACTCACGCTCCCAGACATCCACTCAGTATGGCAACCTACTTATAGAACTTTAGACAGTTCACACCATTCACCTGTATGTTATTAGCATTACTGTGTTGCTATGCTAAAACAGGCAGGGTTTTCATTGAGGACATCAGATATATGTTTGTATATAAAATACCAGTCAAAGTTTGGACACACCTACTCATTCAAGAGTTTTTCTTTATTTTTACTTTTAATAGTGAAGAAATCAAAACTATGAAATAACACATATGGAATCATGTAGTAACCAAAAAAGTGTTAAACAAATCAAAATATATTTTATATTTGAGATTCTTCAAATAGCCACCCTTTGCCTTGATGACAGCTTTGCACAATCTTGGCATTCTCTCAACCAGCTTCAACTGGAATGCTTTTACAACAGTCTTGAAGGAGTTCCCACATATGCTGAGCACTTGTTGACTGCTTTTCCTTCACTCTGCGGTCCAACTCATCCCAAACCATCTCAATTGGGTTGAGGTCGGGTGATTGTGGAGGACAGGTCATCTGATGCAGCACTCCATCACTCTCCTTCTTGGTAAAATAGCCCTTACACAGCCTGGGGGTGTGTTGGGTCATTGTCCTGTTGAAAAACAAATGATAGTCCCACTAAGCGCAAAACAGATGGGATGGCATATCGCTGCAAAATGCTGTGGTAGCCATGCTGGTTAAGTGTGCCTTGATTTCAAAATAAATCACTGACAGTGTTACCAGCAAAGCACCATCACACCTCCTCCTCCATGCTTCATGATGGGAACAACAAATGTGGAGATCATCCGTTCACCTACTCTGCGTCTCACAAAGACAGCAGTTGGAACCAAAAATCTCATATTTGGACTCATCAGACCAAAGGACAGATTTCCACCGGTCTAATGTCTATTGCTCGTGTTTCTTGGCACAAGCAAGTCTCTTCTTATTATTGGTGTCCTTTAGTAGTGGTTTCTTTGCAGCAATTCGACCATGAAGGCCAGATTCACGCAGTCTCCTCTGAACAGTCAATGTTGAGATGTGTCTGTTACTTGAACTCTGTGAAGCCTTTATTTGGGCTGCAATCTGAGGTGCAGTTAACGCTAATGAACTTATCCTCTGCAGCAGAGGTAACTCTGGGTCTTCCTTTCCTGTGGCAGTCCTCATGAGAGCCAGTTTCATCATAGCGCTTGATGGTTTTTGCGACTGCACTTTCAAAGTTCTTGACATTTTCCAGATTGACTGACCTTCATGTCTTAAAGTAATGATGGACTGTCATTTCTCTTTGCTTATTTGAGCTGTTCTAGCCATAATATGGACTTGGTCTTTTACCAAATAGGGCTACCTTCTCTATACCCCCCTACCTTGTCACAACACAAATGATTGGCTCAAATGCATTAAGAATGAACTTTTAACAAGGCACACGTGTTAATTGAAATGTATTCCAGGTGACTACCTCATGAAGCTGGTTGAGAGAATGCCAAGAGAGCGCAAAGCTGTCATGAAGGCAAAGGAAGAATCTCAAATATAAAATATATTTTGATTTTTTTAACACTTTTTTTGGTTACTACATGATTCCATATGTGTTATTTCATAGTTTCGATGTCTTCACTATTATTCTACAATGTAGAAAATAGTAAAAATAAAGAAAAACCCTTGAATGAGTAGGTGTGTCCAAACTTTTGACTGGTACTGTATTTCTACCGAGTTGTTTTACGTGAACTTCTGAAAGATCTTTCTCTGATCCCACTAATAGATTGGCTTGGTTGTGGTAGTCTGGGTTGTGTGACTCAGTCAGTGTTTGTGTGAGGCTACATGTTGTGGGAGGCATTTGTTCCGAGTGGAGGATGTTCAAACACTACCACCCTCCTCCCTAATTGGCATGTCTTTTTCCACTTTACTAATTTGATGAATTACAGACACAATCAGAGACCATGTCTCGTCTGTGGGCGAAGAGGCCCACTGATGTGTAGAGGAGGGTTAACACTTGACAAGACTGAGGGGAAATCAATGGCCAAGAGGTTACCTCGTGGAATGTTGGGGTGAGAGTGTTCGCCAAGGGAGATGAACTGCATGTGGGGGAGAATGGAGAGAATGTGATCTACCAGTATCTTTCTCCGCTAAGCCCTGTCTCTACACCACGATGAAAGGCCCCTCAACCCCAATTAAAGGCTTTACGCCAAGTGTCTGTAGGTTATGTTGGACAGGGTAAAAAGATTGAGGGCAATGAGCCATTGGTGAACGTTTGACTCATTAGGGGGTCGTTAGGCTCAGTGATCAGGATAGATGGGTTTGGGAGACCCTGGCCACATCGGTTATGGTAGTATGAGATATCAGTCCTATACTGTGCTTGCGCTCTTTGGGATAGTTTCCAGGACACAGTTTAAGCCGAGTGCTGTACTACCCACATGAAAAAATACTATAGTATACTTTGGTATAAATACTATAGTATTCACTGTAGTGTTTTTGCGGAATTTACTGTAGTATACTGTAGTATTTACAGTTAACTATAGTAAAATAAAACTACAGTATATACTATAGTAATTAATGTCGTGTTTTTGTGGATTGAAGTATACTGTAGTATTTACGATAGTATTTTTGCAGACTGTACTATACTGTAGTATTTACTGTAGTGTTTTTGTTTTATCTTTGACATACTGGAGAAATACTAAAATAGCACATTTTCCATAACCTGTAGGTAGGTAGGTAGGTAGATAGGTAGGTAGGTCGGTCTGGGATCTGAACAGATAGTTCAGCGCTTCTGCTGTTTTCTATAATCTGTAGGGAACACAATATATGGTCTATACTTGGCATGTAGGTTTCTCACTAATGGGTGGCACAAATTGCGATATGGGGAGGGGAACGGGCAGTGTATAGTAATTACTATAGTAATTAATGTAGTGTTTTTGTGGCTTGAAGTATACTGTAGTATTTATTGTAGTGTTTTTGCAGACTGTAGTATACTGTAGTATTTACTGTAGTGTTTTTGTGGACTGTAGTATACTGTAGTATTTTGGGTGGCACAAATTGTGAAATGTGGAGGGGAATGGGCAGGGTATATGCAAATTAAATACTGTGTTTTTCTGGACATTACTGTAGTATTTACCAGAGTGATTTTTTGTGGCTAATACTATAGGATTTACTGTAGCATTCCACAGTATACTACAACATTCTATAGTAAGCACTACACATGATCGAGAGATACTACAGTGTGTAGTATATTATTCTACAGTACACTACAGTTTACTATATAATTCTATAGTACGTACTGTAGTATTCTATTGTGAACTGTAATATATCTTCATCTATGTAAAAAGTATTTTCAATGTAGAATTTCCATTGAAAGTGCTTTTTAGTCCAGGACTAGGCTTAATCTGTGTCTGGGAAACCCTACCTTTGTGTTCTATGCATAAAACCATATAATAGTGATTGTGATGATAGCCAGGGACTGATCAAGGTCAGGTGACAGCACATACACTACCGGTCAAAAGTTTTAGAACACCTACTCATTCAAGGGTTTTCTTTATTTTTTACTATTTTCTACATTGTAGAATAAGAGTGAAGACATCAAAACTATGAAATAACACATATGGAATCATGTAGTAACCAAAAAAGTATTAAAGAAATCTAAATATATTTTTTATTTGAGATTCTTCAAATAGCCACCCTTTGCCTTGATGACAGCTTTGCACACTCTTGGCATTCTCTCAACCAGCTTCACCTGGAATGCTTTTCCAACAGTCTTGAAGGAGTTCCCACATATGCTGAGCACTTGTTGGCTGCTTTTCCTTCACTCTGCGGTCCGACTCATCCCAAACCATCTCAATTTAGTTGAGGTCAGGGGATTGTGGAGGCCAGGTCATCTGATGCAGCACTCCATCACTCTCCTTCTTGGTCAAATAGCCCTTACACAGACTGGAGGTGTGTTGGGTCATTGTCCTGTTGAAAAACAAATGATAGTCCCACTAAGCCCAAACCAGATTGGATGGCGTATCGCTGCAGAATACTGTGGTAGCCATGCTGGTTAAATGTGCCTTGAATTCTTAATAAATCACAGACAGTGTCACTAGCAAAGCACCCCCACACCATAACACCTCCTCCTCCATGCTTTACGGTGGGAAATACACATGCAGAGATCATCCGTTCACCCACACCGCGTCTCACAAAGACACGGCAGTTGGAACCAAAAATGTGGACTCCTGCCAAAGGACACATTTCCACCGGTCTAATGTCCATTGCTCGTGTTTCGTAGCCCAAGCAAGTATCTTCTTCTTATTGGTGTCCTTTAGTAGTGGTTTCATTGCAGCAATTCAACCATGAAGGCCTGACTCACACAGTCTCCTCTGAACAGTTGATGTTGAGATGTGTCTGTTACTTGAACTCTGTGAAGCATTTATTTGGGCTGCAATTTCTGAGGCTGGTAACTCTAATGAACTTATCCTCTGCAGCAGAGGTAACTCTGGGTCTTCCATTCCTGTGGCGGTCCTCATGAGAGCCAATTTCATCATAGCGCTTGATGGTTTTTGCGACTGCACTTGAAGAAACTTTCAAAGTTCTTGAAATGTTCCGGATTGACTGACCTTCATGTCTTAAAGTAATGATGGACTGTCATTTCTCTTTATTATTTGAGCTGTTCTTGCCATAATATGGACTTGGTCTTTTACCAAATAGGGATATTTTCTGTACACCCCCCTACCTTGTCACAACACAACTGATTGGCTCAAATGCATTAAGAAGGAAATAATTTCCACGAATTAACTTTTAAGAAGGCACACGTGTTAATTGAAATGCATTCCAGGTGACTACCTCATGAAGCTGGTTGAGAGAATGCCAAGAGTGCGCAAAGCTGTCATCAAGGCAAAGGGTGGCTATTTGAAGAATCTCAAATATAAAATATATTTTGCTTTGTTTTACACTTTTTTGGTTACTACATGATTCCATATGTGTTATTTCATAGTTTTGATGTCTTCACTATTATTTTACAATGTAGAAAATAGTACAAATTAAGAAAAACCCTTGATTGAGTAGGTGTTCTAAAACTTTTGACCGGTGGTGTACTTATATGATATTATCTGCTAATTGATTCGTTACACTGGAGGAGGAGTTCCATAAGGGTTCCAGTGATTGCAGTTCTGACTGCAGTGGTGAAATGACGTAACTCGATTACGTACAGGATGCTGACATGTCTTGATGAGAGCATTGGATGTTATTGTGATTTTTAGTAATGCTATGCTGATAGTAGAAATGTTGCTGATATCTATAGTAATACTGTACCCTCTATTATATTTACATTTTAGTAATTTAGCAGATGCTCTTATCCAGAGTGACTTACAGGAGCAATTAGGGTTAAGTGCCTTGCTCAACGGCCCATCAACAGATTTTTCAGTCGGCTCGGGGACTTGAACCAGCGACCTTTCGGTTACTGGCACAACGCGAACCAGCGACCTTTCAGTTACTGTCCCAATGCTCTTAACCGCTAGGCTAACTGCTAGGCTAACTGCCACAGAGTTTTCTATACAGCTTTAGGCTCATACGTGATTCTGTTCATTGTGTTTTGATCTCATGATTCTGTTGCGTTTCCTCCTCCTTACAGAGCATGGCTCTAAAGGCCACCTAGACCTGACTGAGTTGATTGGGGTGCCGCTCCCTCCCTCTGTCACCTATATCACCGGCTATGAGGGCTTCCGGCCGGCCTACAACTTCGGGCCCGGCGCCAACATCGGACGCCTCACCAAGACCTTCATGCCCGACCCTTTCTTCAAGGACTTTGCCATCATCGTCACCATTAGGCCCAGCAGCAACCAGGGAGGGGTGCTGTTCGCCATCACTGATGCCCAGCAGAGGGTGGTGCAGCTGGGGCTGGCGCTGACAGCCGTGGAGGATCAGACTCAGAGTATTCAGCTGTACTACACCGAGGGGGGCCAGGGGTCCTCACACAGCCAGCAGGTGGTGTCTTTCAAGGTGCCTGATATGACCAAAAAGTGGACAATATTCACTCTGTCGGTGCAGGACCAGGAGGTGCGCCTCTATATGGACTGTGATGACTTCCAAGCAGAGACCTTCCACAGGAGCAGCCACCAGCTCAGCTTTGAGCCCAGCTCAGGCATCTTTGTGGGCAACGCTGGAGGGACTGGGCTGGAGAGGTTTGTGGTAAGTCGAGGGTTGCTTCTGATCATTTTACAGTACCATGTCTTACTGTAGGTTTATGTGTGCTGGGTTTGGGTGGGTTGGTCTCTCTCTCTCTCTCTCTCTCTCTCTCTCTCTCTCTCTCTCTCTCTCTCTCTCTCTCTCTCTCTCTCTCTCTCTCTCTCTCTCTCTCTCTCTGTGTGTGTCTATGTTTAATTCTTTGCACAAATTACTTGCACTGTGTGGATTGTTAGTCCTACTCTGTTTGCCCAGGCTGCGTTAGCATGAACATTACTCCATTAACATGATAAAAGACTCAAAGGTCATCTGTGTTTAATTAGTCTTAACTACTGTCCTAAAAGCTTCACAGCTGGGACATCTTCCCATTCGCTATGCACCACTTGTCTAGCATACAATATCGGATTTCAACAAGAATGTTTAGCTATATCATAAATAGTGATTAATGTATGAATATGCTCAGTCAGTTTCTCAGAATCAGCACATATAAGGTTGTATAACTCCGCTCCAAACATCCTGAAATTTGAGAGCCATCGATAGTACACAGACTAACGGGAGGTCCTGGCAGTCTCTCAGAGAGGAAGGGAGAGATCAGCTTTGTTTAATAAACAGACCCATGGTCAGCTCTGCTCAGCTCAAGTCCTCACGTTCATGTGTCCTGTGATGTCTGTTCCAGTTTTTGCTTCTCTGAGAGGAGAAACGGTGAGGTTCACTAACTGAGGAATTAAGGAGGCGACAGTAGTGTCTGGTCTAGTCAAAACAATATCTCCCACATACCACACATTGACTGTCAACCAGTGTAGTTATGGAGAGTGAGACCATTGAGATATTTCATATTGATTATCTATGAAGAGAGAACTATTCAGCTGGTTCAATATAACCAATTAAAATATTCATATTAATAATTTTGTTGGGTGTCATACTTCTAGATCAAGTCCAGTAAGAGCAGAACTTCCCCTAAAGCCCACTTCTATTAGGTCAAACAAACACTGAGCTATTTATGTTCGTATTCTTATATTTTATTATTTCTTATTGTTGTTGCATTGTTGAGAAGGAACCTGCAAGTAAGCATTTCATTGGACAGTGTATACCATGTGTATCCTGTACATGATATGACTAATAAAAACTTGATGAAGTGAATGGGACTTTCTCCACGCCCCTAAATGAACCATCCGGCAACATTCTTTATTAGTATGCTGCTGCGCCTCGAGAGTTCTGACGGTGGTGGTGGTGGTGTGTGTTTGGGAAAGTGGTTTCCGTGGCGACGGCAGCAAAGTGGGCAGCTTTTCCTTTTGTTGTTGTGAGGCAATTTGGTGCTGGACTGGCGAGGGGCCTGAGATGGCCAATAGGGGTACACCACAGTCAGTCAGTCAGTCAGTCAGAGCAGAGGGGCCAGAGAGGGAGGGGGGATAATAAGAGGGAGGGGTAGAGAGAGGGGAAAGTGGGAGAGGAGGAGGTGAGAGGAGGTGAGAGGGGAAGATGGGGGGCGAGAGAGGGGGAGATGAGGTGGGAAAGGAGGGGTAGAGCGGGAGGAAGAGTAGGCGGTAGAATAAGGGAGTCCCACAGTTAATCATCAAGCCAACAGAACACAGTGGACTGTCATGCGGGGCGATACAATACTGCTGGGTTAAACTCTGTGCCACGAGATGGCTCTGGCCCTTCAAAACCAGCCAGGACGACAAAGCTCCGAGTTTTGTTCTGATGCAGCCTTGATTCGTTTCACTCTCACTCTCTCTCTCTATCTGTCTTTCTATCTTTGGTCTTGTGTTCTGTCTCTGTCTCTCTATGCAATATTGTCTGTTTTTATGATTTTACAGTAGTAAATGTGTTTCAGTAGTTTGCTGTGTTCCATACTGACTGACTGTGGGGCCAGTATTTTACATCCCACTGATCCCAGATCAGAATCTGCCTCTTTCTCTCTCGCTCTCGCTCTCTACATCAGCACAATAACTCCTTATCATACATCACCAAAGCATTATCACATAGCTCTCTCTTTCTCTCCCTCTGTACAGGGCTCTATCCAGCAGCTGGTGATCAAATCAGACCCCAGGGCTGCAGAGGAGCAGTGTGAGGAAGATTATCCCGATGTGAGTGTCTACACACCACATCCTGACACAATACACATTCAGTTCCATTGATATGTATGTATCCATAGCCTTGAGATCCTGACATTCTAGAGGCCTCTTGAAAAAGAAAAGGAGAGCCTCACACTCTAGGAGCTCAGATGCAAATATTCTAGAGGCCTCGTATTGAGTAACGTGTTGAGCGTTTGGCTCGCAAGACAAATTTATCCATGGCTTGACTTGCATAAAGAATACACTTGGCTCTCTCTAGTGTTCAAAAGAGGGAATAATGTTTACTAGTTGACGGTCACTTTTAACTGGCTCTCACTCACATCACTCACATCCATTTGAATCACAGGAGGTTGGTGGCACCTTAATTGGGGAGAACGGGCTCGTGGTAATGACTGGAGCGGAATCAGTGGAATGATATCAAATACATCAAACACATGATTTCCAGGTGTTTGATGCCATTCCATTTGCCGTTCTCCCCTCAGCAGCCTCCACTGATTTGAATGTACATAGCTGCCACTACTCTCGCCTTGCTTCACCTAAATTATGTGAATGAAGAGTTCCCTCTAGTGGTTAGTTAGGGAAATTCTACTTCTAGGTCACTGGTGTCAAAATCATGTTTGGATGGAGAGATGTATGGTGGTAGTCTTCTGTATTCCAGGCTTCTGGGGATGGGAGTGGGGACGAAACGATGGACGACCGTGAAACAGAGGATGAGCTGATGAACATGGAACGAAGAAAGGAAACAGCACGGGTGAGTAAAGATGGATAGTGTGAGCATGGGGTGTGAGAGATTGTGTTCAGTGAGAGGCTGTCAACGGACGCTGGGTGAGCAGAGATGAGAGAGAGAACATCCGTCCACACAACTAAGATTGGCTTGGACACAAGGCACATTGCTGTCTGAGCAACACTTTCTGACAGACTTCATTGGAAGTCTCTTACATAAGCCTTTGACATGTAGTGGAACATCTTTTGTCTGTTTCATCAGTTTCAATTTGTACTGATACAAAACACAAGTATGTAATAGTGAACACTGGGGGGATATATTCCAGTAGGACGATTCAGTACCTCTATCCCTCTACCCAGTTTTGCGAAACCCAATAACTAGCCTGCTAATATTGTTGCACTCGTTAAGTCTAGGGGTCTTAAGCCTTGTTACATGGTCTGTAACCTGAATGAATGTGTGCATTTATGTGAGAAATCAGCGTTTGAGGACCGTGTTGAATGCACATCACTGCATGGAAAGGCACATTTACGGGTCGAACACGCCAGTGCACAATTCCAAAAACAGTTTCTGGAAATTTGCGTGAAAGTGCACAGCCCTGAACACGTCCGGTATATCTCCGATAACGGACCACTTGTGTGTGCGGACGTGTGTACGGGCATGTATATATCCGGAACGGTTCAGTAAATCCCCACACGTCCACCCACATCTTGAAATTCCAATGCATGTTTGACGTCAGTTGCAATACATCTCTGTCCACGTCCGCCCAAGTCTCTCCCATAAATGTCAGTAAATAACCGTGCACTTGTTTAAGGCTGTGCATGCTTATTCGCCACAATGAATGCTAATGCTAGTCATTGCTAGCTTGCCTTAGTGGCTGTCAATGGTATATTAAAAACACAATTAATTGTGGAATTAATTAATTAGTGAATTAAGAATAGCTATTATTAATATCACACCTCAGGGTTCCTACACCTTTTCAGAAAAAATTATGTAAGCACCACTATCAAGGTTTTCCCTGCACCTCACAATGTCGCTATACTATCGCTAAACATCTCTTAGTTCCTTGAATAAAACACACAAATCCACTCTATAATTTCAGCAGAGAAGGAGAAAGCAGGTAATAGTATCTGCATTTAGTCTAAGCAGGGCCTGAAACTAAAGTAACCGCCATGGAGGCTCGACCTGGGCCAAGCTGGAGGAATTCTGCCAGTACAATGCTTGAGTTTAATATTTTTTACTTTCATCTTTGAATTTCAAATGTGGTGCTTACCAGCTTACATTTGTGTAAACAGGTATACACCAAATGAAGGAAATATGAACGAGACTATTCAAAAGTTTTCAAAAGAATCAAGCACTATACTGACAGTCATCCAGCTTGGCCCAGGGCGAGCCTCCATTGGGGTTACTGTGGTGCTATAGTGTTGAGGGTAGAGGGGTCCATGGGATCTAGGTTGCTTTGACGAAAACTCCCCATATATGATTTGTGTGGTGTGGCTCGCCAAGTAGCTCTGGTCCCTCTCCAAGTTCTTGACAAAGGGCAGTGAGCGCCTCACTCTGGAAGCAGGGGGGGGCTTAACGAACCACACTGGTTTTCCGTTTTGCAGGCCATCCTCATCGCTCATCAGGTCAACATTAACTCCTGTCCAAATGTCTCTCATCCTCTGCAAGCACTCTTGACTGTGCATCTAGAAGCAAAAACTAAGAAAACTATAGAATACAGTAAACAAATGCATCAGTCTCAAGTCATGCATATTCATATATACTGAACCAAAATATAAACGCAACATGCAACAATTTCAAAGATTTTACTGAGTTATAGTTCATATAAGGAAATCAGTCAATTGAAAGAAATTCATTAGGCCCTAATATATGGATTTCACATGACTGGGCAGGGTATGAAAAATTTATGCACTCACTAACTGTAAGTCGCTCTGGATAAGAGCGTCTGCTAAATGACTAAAATGTAAACTGTAAATGGGTGCAGCCATGGGTGGGCCTGGGATAGGCCCACCCACTGGGGAGCCAGGCCCAGCCAATCAGAATGCGTTTTTCCCAACAAAAGGGCTTTATTACAGACAGAAATACCTTCAGACGATCCTGCAGATGAAGAAGCCGGATGTGGAGGTTCTGGGCTGGCATGGTTCCACGTGGTCTGTGGTTGTGAGGCCAGTTGGACGTGCTGCCAAATTCTCTAAAATGACGTTGGAGGCAGCTTATGGTAACAAAATTCTCATTAGATTCTCTGGTAACAGCTCTGATGGACATTCCTGCAGTCAGCATGCCAAATGCACGCTCCCTCAAAACGTGAGACATATGTGGCATTGTGTTGTGTGACAAAATTGCACATTTTAGAGTGGCCTTTTATTGTCCCCAGCACAAGGTGACCTGTGTAATGATCATGCTGTTTAATCAGCTTCTTGATATGCCACACCTGTCAGGTGGATGGATTATCGTGGCAAAGGAGAAATGCTCACTAACAGGGATGTACACACATTTTGAGAGAAATAAGCTTTTTGTGTGTATGGAAAAGGTCTTTTTTCAGCTCATGAAACACGGGACCAACACTTTACATGTTGCATTTATATTTTTCTGAACTTTAATTTAAAGCCCCACCAACCCCAGATAGAGATATTAAAGGGGAATTCCAACCTATCACGTAAACCCCACCCCCCCAAAAAAACAAATTAATATAAGTGAAATTACTGAGATTATTAGTATTATAGGAATATTGTGAAAACAATAGTTGAATTCCACCTGGTTGAAAGGGGCTTCACATGCTTTTGGCTCCATGCACCGGATGTATCGCCCTCAAACAACTAGCCAAAGATAATGTAATGACCCAGCTGGGTCATAAAGGAAAAAGAGACGGACACCAGATGTGCAGGGCAGAACACAGGTTTATTCCTAAACTGGGCTATTGTTCAGGCCACAGTCCACGCCGCTAAATTCCGAACGTACACAAATATACCATGTCAAGTTAAGGGTCACCCTCCTAGGAGCAGGTCAGGGTCCCGAACAGAAGAGAGAGAGATGAGACAGTAGCCCCTATTTATGCATTTCAAAACCCCATGGGATTACCCATCATACCCCCTCAACCTTTCCGTCTGTCCTGGCATATTGAACCCCTGCTAGCACCTATGAGAACAATAACACACCCATGAAAACTGAACACAATACCGGGTCGTTACAATAATTATAATCAAACGAGATATGCAACAAGTTATGCATGTGATACTGGCAGTACACAGAGCTACAAGCATGTGGGCGTTTTTGCCAAAATATGAACCTGGTTCATGATTACTGTTATTTTCAGTAAAACAGTCAATGCAGTTCTGATACAGAGGCAATTAGTGTTCCAACAAAGTACAGCAAATCGGTGATTAATGGAACCCCAGGGGCTATAGCAGCCACTCTAGACCAGGTGGTTGGAATTCAACATTTGTTTTCATTCTACTCTTCTAGACTCAAATATATAACTTGAAACATGTAATTGGGCCATGCACCACCTTTGTATTCCAAGGACCAGGAGTAATACAGGAGTGGTAAAACTAGGGTTACACAGAAGCTACTTGTACAAAAAGGCTTACCACCTTTCTCCTCTGGCAACCCTTCTTTGCGTGTTTCTCCACGATTGTGTCCCCTATGTTCTCAGGTAAACCTGAAAGATACGCCCGCCTCAATCTCGTAATAGGTGGCACAAGAACCTGCAATGGATATAAGCAAAAGGTTAATTGTATGTTGGTTTGGTGCATCGCCTTGTTATCGTATGTAAAAAGGCATTAAACATAACTTTGAGCGTTTCACTCTTTTTCTCCTGTGTAAACACAGCCTATTCTCACTAGATGTGTATGTAGCTATGACACCCATGCATTGTATGGGCAACACCAGTATATCTCCTTCACTCTATTTATACAGTGCCAATTGTACAATAAAATTATAGAAGAGGCCTGTATTAAATGTAAAAAATAAAACAGCTAGCAACATAAGCTAGTAGGGCGAAATGGAAATTCACACCCACGACCGTGCACCTCAAATATCACAGGAATATAGCAGATCCGATTTCACCCAGAAACTCTGCTTTTCATGCAGTGCATGTGCCCAGAAGACAGCAACGTACCGAGTTCAGGGCCAGCTCCGACTTGACCTCCTGGTTGGCCAGTCCAAGCGGATTATAATTTGTTCAAATGGTGACGAAACATAAATATGTACAAAAAGGAAAAATACCAAAGGCATGCCCAAACTAAAGACATCATGGCCACTAAACAAACCCAGTAGCCTCACGGCTTGCCCCCTGAGACACTGACTGAATATCACCTTAATTGGCAGCACTTGGTGTGCTTATCAACCAGGCCCCCTGGGGGAATGGAGTGTGGAAGTGTAACCTGGATAGCGTGTTTGTCTATGTCCCCCCCATATCAAGTCTCTACACTGGCCTTTGATGTGTCTGTTATGTCTACTGGTAGCAGTGGTTGTTTATCAGGAAAATGTGGCCAACCCCCACATCCTTGTCAATAGGAAGCAAACACAGATACAGTGCTGCACTCATGTACCCAGTGAAGATCACTTTTTGTTGTCTGTTTCTCTTCTGTTCCGGGAGTGCTCCAGATTCCAGCTGTGTGTATGCTACATTGACTTTCATCCTCCCAACACTAACACACCAATTTACTTACCCCCCCTCTCTCTCGCTCGCTCTCTCTCTCGCTCTCTCACTCTCTCGCTCACTTTTTACTCTTTCTCACATTCACTCTTTATCTCTCTCTCTTCCTCCTTAATATTTTTCTCCCTCCAGCCAGAGGATATGCTGAGCGGGCCGGTGCGAGCCCCGCCCACAGAGTCTCCGGAGGTGGAGCTAGATGAGTACTCAGGTCACCTGACTCCCACAGAGGAGGCCCATCAGGAGATGCTGCTCAGAGGTGGGGAAGGCAGGTTCACCATGCTCTTATCTTAACCAATCATCATATTACATTTACATTTTAGTCATTTAGCAGACGCTCTTATCCAGAGCGACTTACAGTTAGTGAATACATTTTTTTTTTTTATACTGGCCCCCCGTGGGAAACGAACCCACAACCCTGGCGTTGCAAACGCCATGCTCTATCAACTGAGCTACATCCCTGCCCGGTCATTCCCTCCCCTACCCTGGACGACGCTGGGCCAATTGTGCGCCGCCCATGAGTCTCCCGGTCACGGCCGGCTGCGACAGAGCCTGGATTCGAACTAGGATCTCTAGTGGCGCAGTTAGCACTGCGATGCAGTGCCTTAGACCACTGCGCCACTCAGGAGACTATGGCAGTACAGGGCACTTTCATATAACTGATAATTGAGCTTGATTTAACTCGTCTGGTGACTATGTCAATTGTTATTAGATTTTCCCTTTGCATTGATCAATCATATCTGTCTCTCATTGGTTAATATTGTTGGTTGAATACATCATATATCCCTCATTGGTTAATCCTATTGATGTCTCTTATTCCTCTCTCAGGACCCAACCAGACAGAGGAGCCAGAGAGGTCAGGGGATGTAAGTAATAGTTACGTGCCTCAAAACCTGATGTCCTTTAAATGCTTAATTCATTATTCAGTATTTAATACATCTTCTTACACAACGTTCTCCTCTTTGCGCTGATCATCAGGGTGGGCCTCTTAGCCACAGACAGAAAGGAGAGCGAGGAGAGCCTGGGCCTATGGGTCCTGCTGGTCCCCGTGGCCCCCCTGGCCCCTCCACTCCCTCTGAGGGTAGGAGGTCTGGGCACAGCCAGCCAGGACCCAGGGGCCCTCAGGGGCCTTCAGGACCAACAGGGGCCCCTGGGGTGCCAGGGAAGGATGGACAGCCAGTGAGCTTTATGTCATTACTCTGTGATAGTAGTACATGTTTGATTATGTTTTCTATTACCTTCACTTGACATGACTGAAAAGATAAATCAAAGGAGCATTCACATTTTTCAGGGAAGCAAGGGTGAAGATGGAGATCCAGTGAGTAATTCTGGTCTTGTGTCAAATTGTACTGTTCTGTCATACATAAATACTGTATGTTTTAAGAAATGACCTAATCTATGGTCATCTCCACAGGGACAGAGAGGACCTCAAGGTTTCCCAGGTTTGGCAGGGGAGGTTGGAGTCAAAGGAGACAAGGTACAGTAATAAAAGGTGTTCAAAGGAAAAATGTATATTCAATGTGTGTGAGATAGGCAGTTAGTCGTACCCTGTGTTCTCTTCTGTACAGGGGGACCCAGGAGCAGGCCTACCAGGGCCTCCAGGCCCCCCTGGACCTCCCGGACCCCTCAGATCACACAGCGTACCGGTGGGTAGCAGTGTAACATCCTGGAAACATCGGATTGAACTGGGGATCAAATGGGGATTTGTCTTAATTGCCTGTTTTCCTTTGAATTGCAGTACGGAGAGGATGCACTCAGCTCTGGCTTTGGGGACCTTGATGATACAGAATTGATCAGAGTAAGAACTTTAATTCTGCTGTCATCTGTTATGTTTTTCTCTAATAAAATGTCTCTAGGAGGAGTATTTTATCCACATACTGCCAGCCTTATCTCGCAAGATTTCATAAATATGTTTTGCTACACTTGCTTGCGAGATCAGGCTGGAAGTACGAGGCTACGAGAATTCATCACTCAATGTTAAACGTGTGCCATGCATCCCATATCCAACAGGTGGTGGTGTTTAATCTGATCACCTATAGTTGAGACCAACCCACTGTGATGATTTTACAGTAAGGTGTCCTCTCTCTCCTAGGGTCCTCCTGGCCCTCCAGGTCAACCTGGCCCCCCTGGACCCACCAGCCCCTTCAACGCCTCTGAAGGCCTGTTCCCTGGACAACCAGGTCCTCCTGGCAGATATGGCCTTGTTGGGAAACCTGGACCTCCGGTGAGTTGTCTGTCTATCTCACGTTCTCCCTAAGATCCACTATTGATGTTTCCACCTGTTACCACCCATTTTCACCTGTTATTGATGTTCCCACTTTTGTTTTGTATTGTACATTTTATTTTGTTATACTCTTCTATATGTGTATGCATGCATTGTAGTTGACAGTGGTTTCCTCGCCACTCTCTGTTGTTATTGACCTGGCTGTCCCTGGCCTTTATTGTTTCAGGTGATTGAGGATTGGTTTAGTGGTTCTGACTTGGGCTCTGGGTTTGGCTCAGGGTTGTTCGGCTCTGGGCTTGGTTCTGGCGAGGTATTTCCCTGGTTCCTTCACTGAACCAGTAGGCTTGAAAAGGCAGAACGTTCTCTCCAACCATGTTTTCTAACAGCCTGGCCCATTTAACTTACTGTACGTGAGATGAGTGTGTGTGTGTGTGTGTGTGTGGGGGGGGGTGTGTGTCACTGGTGTATCACACAAGGCCGGGGGGCCCACTAGCTCTGGGGGCCTTTTGTTGGGGGAAGGGCAAACATTTTGCCAAGGTTAACATTTTTAGAATTACAGGAATTTAGCTGTACAACTGCAACATTTTCTCTCAGCATCATGGCAAAATGTGTAAAATAGCATGAAATTAGCTATAAAACTGCAGAATGTTTCTCTTTGCCCCATGGCAAAATGTATAGAACCCCCCCCCCCCCCTAATTCTAACAGCCTTGCTCAGACCTTGCGGGGGCCCCCACGAAACTGAGGTACGCCACTGGTGTGTGTGTGTGTGCACGCATGTGCTTCTGCTTAGAATTGTTTACCCATCTATGAAACCATCAGGGGTCTATGCTCATCCCCCATCCCCTCATTAAGCGGGAAACAACCTAGGTTTGACTTGATGGACATTGAGCTTGAGCTATATGCTTCATACATCAAACATGGTCAAGCTACATTGGAGAGAACCTGCCTTTTTATATAAGTCTGTTGCCTGCGTGCTTTCACTAACTGCATTTATGGAGCTTGCCCTTTATTTTTTTACAGTCAATGAGCCATGTTGTTCCTTTAGGAATGGCAAAAGGGACAATGGTGGCAACGGCTGGCTATGTTTTTTCTATTTTAGACAGAGGAATATCATATTTTATGATGAAAAGTAACTAATTCTGTGGGATTCAATATCAAATTCTCACCATGAATAATTACCATGAAGAGAAATATTTTAAATGACTTGTTGGAAGTTATCTTTGCAACTGTATCTATGGTAGCTACTATCATTCTAAGGAAAGCAAGACAGTCTTGGTCATGATAGACTAGTCACTTGACTTGTGTGACCTGTATGTGCAGGAAATTCAGAGAGCAACGGTTGTGACATCACATCTCTCTGCTGTTGATTTCAGGGTCAACCTGGTCTGGATGGGGATGTTGGGCCGACAGGGCCTAAAGGTCTGAAAGTAAGATGACAGTTACTCTGGAAGCTATTGTTTGCATTTTCTAAGGGAATGTAGCTGATTTGATCCCCCACAATCATTTCCATTGCAAATGCTTACTTTAACCTATCTCTCTTCCTCACATAGGGTGAACAAGGACTAGTTGGACCAAATGGACCAAAGGTATTTCTAACCATCTGACCACTCAGTTATCAGTTATAAAAATGCATTAATCAAACAATGAGACCTAAGTTCCTAATCAAGCTGCTGACATGCATATCTACTACTATACTGTGTTCTTCATAGTCAGTTTTGGGCTTATTCTTCCCTGCAGGGTGAATCAGGTGACCCAGGGTTGGCAGGAGCTACAGGACCGAGGGGACCAGAGGGGAAGAGGGGCGACCCTGGCCCTCGGGGGCTGCCTGGCCCCCCCGGACCCCCAGGAGCAGGATTGTTTGTTGAGGTGCTGTTTTGTTGATTTTACTGTTGAGTCAGTTTCCTATCATACGGTTGTCTTGTTTTGTCTCTATTGATTCTGAATGCAACAATGTTGTGTGTTGGTGCTTGCAGGACATGGAAGGGTCTGGGAAGCATGACATGCTCCTTGGCGCAGGACTCAAAGGCCCTCAGGTGAGTGAGAGTGGTGTATGTGTGTGTCTCCTGTAGTTTTGAAGTACTTGTAAATTGTGTTTCTCCTTAAGTTTCCATGAGAATAACTGTTATCTACTCTCTTCTGTAGGGACCTCCAGGTCTTCCTGGCCCTGCAGGACCAAAGGTAGGATTACAAACATGAAAATAACTAGGCTGTGAAAATAGTGGTGTAGGATTTTAATTTGATCACACTGTTGTTGCAGGAAATGTAAACTTTAGTGTATTCAAGGTTTAAAAATGCTTCTAAAGTTTGTATTTTCCACTTTAACATTTCAGACTTGATTTGCCCTAAATGAAAATGTATCAACCTCTACAAAAATGTCCATTCATTATAATCCACACAATAATTCACGTTTTCTGCTGTGAGAAACTGGTCAAATTACAATCCTACATCTGTAACTACACTGAACAAAAATATATACGCAACATGCAACAATTTCTAAGATTTTACTGAGTTACAGTTCATATAAGGAAATCAGTCAATTGAAATAAATTCATTAGGCCCTAATCTATGGATTTCACATGACTGGGAAGACAGATATACATCTGTTGGTCACAGATACCTTAAAAAAAAGGTAGGGGCGTGGATCAAAAAACCAGTCAGTATCTGGTGTGACCACACTTCATGCAGCGCGACACATCTCCTTTGCATAGAGTTGATCAGGCTGTTGATTGTGGCTTGTGGAATGTTGTCCCACTCCTCTTCAATGGCTGTGCGAAGTTGCTGGATATTTTATTTATTTATTTATTTAACCTTTATTTAACCAGGTAAGCCAGTTGAGAACAAGTTCTCATTTACAACTGCGACCTGGCCAAGATAAAGCAAAGCAGTGCGATAAAACAACAACAACACAGAGTTACATATGAAATAAACAAAACCTACAGTCAATAACACAATAGAAAATCTATATACAGTGTGTGCAAATGTAGTAAGTTATGGAGGTAAGGCAATAAACAGGCCATAGTGCAAAATAATTACAATTTAGTATCAACACTGGAGTGATAGATGTGCAGAAGATGATGTGCAAATAGAGATACTGGGGTGCAAATTAGCAAAATAAATAACAATGTAAATAACAATATGGGAATGAGGTAGTTGGGTGGGATAATTACAGATGGGCTGTGTACAGGTGCAGTGAACGGTAAGCTGCTCTGACAACTGATGCTTAAAGTTAGTGAGGGAGATAAGTGTCTCCAGCTTCAGAGATTTTTGCAGTTCGTTCCAGTCATTTGCAGCAGAGAACTGGAAGGAATGGCGGCCAAAGGAGGTGTTGGCTTTGGGGATGACCAGTGAGATATACCTGCTGGAACGCATACTTTGGGTGGGTGTTACTATGGTGACCAATGATCTAAGATAAGGCAGGGATTTGCCTAGAAGTGATTTATAGATGACCTTGAGCCAGTGGGTTTGGCGACGAATATGTAGTGAGGGCCAGCCAACGAGAGCGTACAGGTCACAATGGTGGGTAGTATATGGGGCTTTGGTGACAAAACGGATGGCACTGTGATAGACTACATCCAATTTGCTGAGTAGAGTGTTGGAAGCTATTTTGTAAATGACATCGCTGAAGTCCAGGATCGGTAGGATAGTCAGTTTTACGAGGGCATGTTTAGCAGCATAAGTGAAGGAGGCTTTGTTGCGAAATAGGAAACTGATTCTAGATTTAACTTTGGATTGGAGATGCTTAATGTGAGTCTGGAAGGAGAGTTTACGGTCTAACCAGACACCTAGGTATTTGTAGTTGTCCACATATTCTAAGTCAGACCCGCCGAGAGTAGTGATTCTAGTCGGGCGGGCGGGTGCAAGCAGCATTCGATTGAAGAGCATGCATTTAGTTTTAGTTTAAGAGCAGTTGGAGGCCACGGAAGGAGTGTTGTATGGCATTAAAGCTCATTTGGAGTTTTGTTAACACAGTGACCAATGAAGGGCCAGATGTATACAAAATGGTGTCGTCTGCATAAAGGTGGATCTGAGAGTCACCAGCAGCAAGAGCGACATCATTGATATACACAGAGAATAGAGTCGGCCCGAGAATTGAACCCCATAGAGACTGCCAGAGGTCCAGAAAACAGGCCCTCCGATTTGACACATTGAACTCTATCTGAGAAGTAGTTGGTGAACCAGGTGAGGCAGTCATTTGAAAAACCAAGGCTATTTAGTCTGCCAATAAGAATGCGGTGATTGACACAGTCAAAAGCCTTGGCCAGGTCAATGAAGATGGCTGCACAGTACTGTCTTTTATCGATCGCAGTTATTATATCGTTTAGGACCTTGAGTGTGGCTGAGGTACACCCATGACCAGCTCGGAAACCAGATTGCATAGTGGAGAAGGTACGGTGGGATTTGAAATGGTCGGTGATCTGTTTGTTAACTTGGCTTTCAAATACTTTCGAAAGGCAGGGCAGGATGGATATAGGTCTGTAACAGTTTGGATCTAGAGTGTCACCCCCTTTGAAGAGGGGGATGACCGCGGCAGCTTTCCAATCTCTGGGGATCTCAGACGATACGAAAGAGAGGTTGAACAGGCTAGTAATAGGGGTTTCAACAATTTTGGCGGCTAATTTTAGAAAGAAAGGGTCCAGATTGTCTAGCCCAGCTGATTTGTAGGGGTCCAGATTTTGCAGCTCTTTCAGGGCATCAGCTATCTGAATTTGGGTGAAGGAGAAGCGGGGTGGGCATGGGCATGTTGCAGCGGAGGGTGCACAGCTGGTGGCCGAGGTAGGGGTAGCCAGGTGGAAAGCATGGCCAGCCGTAGCAAAATGCTTATTGAAATTCTCGATTATCGTAGATTTATCGGTGGTGACAGTGTTTCCTAGCCTCAGTGCAGTGGGTAGCTGGGAGGAGGTGCTCTTATTCTCCATGGACTTTACAGTGTCCCAAAACTTTTGGGAGTTAGTGCTACAGGATGCACATTTCTGTTTGAAAAAGCTAGCCTTTGCTTTCCTAACTGATTGTGTATATTGGTTCCTGACTTCCCTGAAAAGTTGCATATCGTGGGGGCTGTTCGATGCTAATGCAGTACGCCCCAGGATGTTTTTGTACTGGTCAAGGGCAGTCAAGTCTGGGGTGAACCAGGGGCTACATCTGTTCTTAAATCAGAATTTTTTGAATATTTAAGATGGAGAGGAAAGCACTTTTGAAGAACATCCAGGCATCCTCTACTGACGGAATGAGGTCAATATCCATCCAGGATACCCGGGCCAGGTCAATTAGAAAGGTGTTTTCACTTAATTGTTTTAGGGAGCGTTTGACAGTGATGAGGGGTGGTCATTTGACCACGGACCCATTACGGATGCAGGCAGTGATCGCTGAGATCCTGGTTGAAGACAGCGGAGGTGTATTTAGAGGGTAAATTAGTCAGGATGATATCTATGAGGGTGCCCATGTTTACGGATTTAGGGTTGTACCTGGTAGGTTCCTTGATAATTTGTGTGAGATTGAGGGCATCTAGTTTAGATTGTAGGACGGCCGGGGTGTTAAGCATATCCCAGTTTAGGTCACCAAGCAGTACGAACTCTGAGGATAGATGGGGGGCAAGCAATTCACATATGGTGTCATATGGGTCTTTAGCAAGCGGCAACAGTGAGAGACTTATTTCTGGAAAGGTGGATTTTTAGAAGTAGAAGCTCAAACTGTTTGGGCACAGACCTGGATAGTATGATAGAGCTCTGCAGGCTATCTCTACAGTAGATTGCAACTCCGCCCCCTTTGGCAGTTCTATCTAGACAGAAAATGTTGTAGTTCGGGATGGAAATTGCTGAATTTTTGGTGGCCTTCCTAAGCCAAGATTCAGACACTACTAGAACATCAGGGTCGGCAGAGTGTGCTAACGCAGTGAATAACTCAAACTTGGGGAGGAAGCTTCTGATGTTAACATTCAAGAAACCAAGGCTAATGTATAGAGAAGATTAAGACAAGATGGCGTATTGAATAGAAAGCGGGACAAACCACCTCAAGATAAAAACATAATATTCAAAATCAGTAAGTTAGACTAAATATTAGGATTTCATATCTTCGCAGTTAATACAATTAAATCTGGATAATAACACAAAACAAATCATAAGGCTAGAGAAATATATCGACAAATATTACAACAACACGCAATACCCAAACATGGCGGAAGATAAACGAGGAGAACCAATCTCCAAGAGAAAACGCGACTCGTCGAACGATACAGATGATATATGCTTTTCACCACTGGGTCTGGTAAGTGTGGAAAGCGACCTGTTGAAGTCGATAAATGACAAATTGGGCATACTAGAATTGGTCAGTAAGGACGTTAAAGAGTTGAAAGCAAGTCTTGAAATGAGTGACGAAAAAGCTGTGATAATGGAGAAAGAAACCAAAAACGTAAAAGTGACAGTCACTAAGATGGAAACGGACGTTAGGGAACTTAAAAAGGAGAACAACCTTCTGAGATAAGCCTTACTAGACATCCAAACTAGATCGATGAGAGAAAATCTAGTATTTACGGGTATTCAGGAAAAGGAGGCAGAAATAACCGAGAATATTATGAAGGATTTCCTGCATACAGCGCTTCAGATCCCACTCGAGGCTGTCGATAAAATCCAACTCGAACGTGTACACCGTTTTGGACAAAGAGGACAGAAATATGATCGCCCAATCGTTGCCAAATTTGCATTTTCTAAGGATAAAGCAATGGTTAAAAGCCTAGGTTAAAGATTTGCTGGCACAAAAATAGACATGAATGATCAGTTCCCGAGGGAGATTGCAGAAAGGCGCAAAGTTCTGTATCCAATCTTCAAGGAAAATAGATTAAAAGGTAAACGTGTTGCACTTGTGGTCGATAAACTATATATTGACAATCCAAATGTTCAGAGACACAAAGACTACTCCATGGCTATTCTAAAAGTTGTAATAGAGGAGTCGAGTAATGGAACACCCAATACTAGCAATGATAGGAATTGTAATATTAAAGAACATTTATAGTAAGTATAGTGTTTTAAAATAGGATAAA